CCCCAAAACCCCAAAACCCCAAAACCCCAAAACCCCGGGGGAGATATTAGAGATTGGAGTTGTAGATTGAGGGTTTAGAGTCATGGTCCAACCCCTGTGTTAATAACCATACTTCGGTTTATTACATCTCTTGGTCTGCTATTGTTTCTTGTTTCTTTCTAAAGATAAGATTTAAGGAGGGGTTGTGTGAAGAGTTGATAGTCTGTTACAAGAATTTTATTTGAAAGAAATAGATCAATTATACTAATTTAGTCCTAAATCTTGGAAACTAAGTGAGAGTTCGGACTTCATGTATTATCATACAGGAGTTTCAAAGATAAGATAACTAAGTTCTTACCTTCTTTTGCAATCCTATTGACATCTGGGAAAGAGCCTTAGTCTCACTTGAAAGTTTTGTATTAGCTTCATTCAGAGATGATATTACTTTATTAGCCCTGGAGATCTCCCCTTCAAGTTTCTGAATTCTAGCACTCTTGGTCTTCATAGCATGTTCATAGAGCTGGTCTTTCCGTTGAGCCTATAGGAGTCAGATTTGGAAAAATACCATGCTGTCCATGCTTTCTTTTATTTTTCGAATTTTATTTCATTTCCTCACTCTCATCCTCTCCAGCTGCTTTATTTTCTAAAGATAGCTATTAATTTACAGCAACTCAAAATATGAAATTTTTTAAAAGGTTCCGATTGAAAGCCAACACTGGAAGATAAATGATTCTAAAACTCTAGATAAATCTAGAGATATTTGATCTAGTGAAGAGTATACTTCTAATGAGAGATTCAAGGCTAAATGTGCATATTCTTACAAGTTTGTATAAAGATGTCAACAAGAACGCATGAAAATTGGACTAATTTTCCCAAAGCTTTCTCTTTAGTGAACACCCTTAAGCTTCCAAAGCCATGTAAGTTATCTTACTAGAATCTCAATCTTTATGTATTTGATGTTTTGTCTGCTTTAAGTCTCGAATCACAGATTGAAGTTCTACAATCTCAACTCCTAATGACTTGTTCTTCACCTGCAGGTCATGGAGCTGTTTGGAGTTTTCTAGTTTAGAGTGTTCTAAAATTAGTTAGAACAGAACACAAGGACTAAATCTATGTGCAATAAAGGCTTCTTTTATAATTATAATTCATAGTTTATCTCAGATAGTTCAGGCTAACTTAGTTCCTTAAAAGACTTATTGTTACCAAAATGACAAAATTGTGACTAGAAAATCCATTCCCATTCAAATATGAACCCTGACATAATATCTCGAGTAGAATGGAGACTTAAACCTCTTTCTTGCATATGCTTACTGCAATTTTTTATTTCAACCTTCATCTGATGCTTAATATCCTCAGCTTTTTCCTTATTAATCACAATTTTCTCAAATTTCTTCATTTCTCCTAACCTATTTTTGAGATGATCAGCCTGTTGTTGAAGCTCGAATACGCTTTTCTCAAGCCATTTCTTCTGATTTATCAACTCCATCATCTTATTTTGATCTGTGAGAGAAGAGCTATAGGTCAGAATCTAAGAATACCTTCAGATCAGCTCAAATTCATTTTCAAGGGTTTTCACCTTTCTATTTCTCTGTTTCAATCTGAGAGTGGATCTTCTTTAGCTCCCTTCTTTTCTGCCTTAAATCAGTATCTACCACTCCCTAAACTTTAAGCTGAAGCTTACTTCTTGCTCGAATGGTTTCATGCTCTTAAGAGTGGCTGCTTTAGAGATCCCGTTTGCAACAACTCCAGCACAGATGTTTACTTTTTGGAGGAGTTTATTTGTTGGCCTCCATAAGGATCTCAATTTCTTCATCTAATCTGTCACTTTCAGTCTCTTCAAGGCCTGTGTCGTCAAGGTTGTCCATATTTTCCTCCATTTCTTCGAGATCAAGGTCAATCTCTTCAATGCCATCGTACACTGTGTTGGGGTCGAAATCTTTGGTGACTTCTGCACCAGTCTTGAACAGCTTCCTCTTGAACAACTTAGCCATTGAATTTCTGGAGGAAAAGTTACTGTTGAAAGCAGGCCGATGTAGAGAAGACCCTGTATTTAACTTTATTCTCCTCTCAGAATGGCTGTTAAACCTATTTGTCTGGCTAGTCGACCTATTGGCACTAACATGATTGTTCCTCTTAATCTTCTTAGGAAAATTCGGAGCTTTCACTACTTGTGGCAACATCATTGAATTATTCATATTTTTAATGGGATATATATTCTCTGAACCTTCTACAGATCTTTTAGCTTCATCATTCTCATCAAAATGTTTGATTGCGCCATTATCATGGTTTGGCTCAGTCTCGACTACATGTCCTTCACTCTAAATAGCAATAGTAAACTTGTTAAGAAAAGCGTTCAAATTCAAAATATTCCAAGCTATGATGATTTTCATACCATTTCTATTTAATTTTCAATTAATTATTGAAATTTTGGGGTTTTGGGGTTTTGGGGTTTTGGGGTTTTGGGG